AACTCCTGCACCCAGGGCAGCATGGCCAGGTCCTGCTCACTGCACAGCTGCCGGTAGCCGCCCCCCGTGTGCCACGGGTAGAAGGAGTGGAACCGGATCATGTAGAAGGCCTGGGGACAGGAAGAGGCCACCCTCAGCGAGCGCCAGGCTGGGCGGGTGGGCCCGCGGGGTGGCCCCTCCCCACACCTACCTCGGGGGGCAGGGAGAAGCTGTTGAACTTCATCACCTGGTACATGTACTCTGTGGGAGAGAGGGGTCACCACCAGGCACCCAGGGGGGCGGGCCCCTCCTGGGCAATGCCAGCCTGTCGCCAGCCTCACCATCGTGGCCCCAGGACATGAGGACGTTCTCGAGCCCACAGTGAGGCTGGTACATGCCAAGGTCCGAGCTGCAGGGAGAGAGGGAGGGTGAGGGGCTCAGAAGCGCCTGGGCCAGCCTGTGTGGCTCAGTGGTTGAGCGACGACCTATGAACCAGGAGGTCACGGTTTCATTCCCAGTCAGGACACAGGCCCGGGTTGTGGACTCGATCCCCAGTGTGGGGTGTGTAGGAGGCAGCCGATCCATGATTCTCTCTCATCATTATTTCTATCTCTCTCCCGCTCCCTTCCTCTCTGAAATCAATAAAAATATATTACATTTTTATTTTTTTAATATATTTTTATTGATTTCCAAGAGGAAGGGAGAGGGAGAGAGAGACTGAAACATCCATGATGAGAGAAGATCATGGATCGGCTGCCTCCTGCATGCCCCACACTGGGGATCGAGCCCGCATCCCAGGCATGTGCTCTTGACCGTAATTGAACCCGGGACCTTTTGGTCTGCAGGCTGACGCTCTATCCACTGAGCCAAACCAGCTAGGGCTATATTACATTTTTTAAAAGAAGATGAAGAAGCACCCGTGGAGGACCAGCGGGGGTGGGGGGGCACCTGTATCGAGGATCCTGGAGGTCGGGGTTGTCCTGGAAGGTGGAGTCGTGGAAAACCACCGAGGCCTGGGGACGGCAGCCCACAGGGAAGGTGTCGCCGACGACCGCCCACTGGGGAGGGACAGGCAGCCACGGGTGGGCACGACTTGCTTGCTCACCAAGTGAGTGTCCCAAGCCCAGAGCTAAGGCTATCCCGGCCCTGCCCACGCGCCCTCCACCCCTGCCCTCACCTGGGGCTCCCCCGCCAGAGCCAGCACCTTCCCCAGGTCGTGCAG